GAGGCAGCTTTATACATAGAACTAACCATCAGAAACTCATGCAGGCTCTGATATGGACTCCTCTGTGGCCTTGGTCAAACTATATTATCCCTCGAATTCATTTTCCCTATAAATAGAAAGTTGCTTCTAAAATTTAGTTGTGTTGTGATTCACTTGCAAAACACTTTGAAGACGTAAAGTGCTATAAGCATGCTACGCAATTATTAGCTTTTAGATTACCAATAATTTAAGCAAAGCTCACTTAGAGAGAAATGGCCATGGTTATTTTAACTTTACTGTAGCTGTACATTTTAAGATGAGTCACATAACCGAGACTGTTCATTTCACATTAGCTTTTCACGAGAAACAAAGATCACCAATTTGCAATGAACTAAACCAAGTAGATCTCTGACGAAGGGAAAGATGCATTTTTTCAATACCAGATAATTCTGCTTGCTATGTTGCCCAGCTCTGTGGCACCAGGTTTTGGAAGCTCTGCAGTCCCCCCTACACTTCGTGATCCGGAGTGAAACCAAATGTGGATAACACCTTTTCCATTAAATAACAGACACAGGTCAAACCAGCTGCATACCCATACTGGCCTCCCGGCCTCCCCCATGCCTGGGGGCTCATTACAAAGAACCTCTCTAAGTCTACAGGCTCCTTTTGCTAATTAATAATGGAGGAGTGGGAGAGATCCCAACATAAAGGACCAAACTAAGATATTTGGAGTGGAATTAAATTCTGCCCAGGCACCCTCATCCTCAGTACTGCCTCAACACTGAATATGTTATATAAATCAATTACAGTCTCAACATTTTTCCTGACTTGCACAATAAGAGATGCATCTTGCCTAACTTCAGATATCTGACCTACTCATTACAGGCTTCCTCCACAGGCAGTGGAAAAAAAAAAAAGGAACTTTCAGTCTGATGAATCCCATTCCTGACATTTTTTCGGTGTTTTGATGGAAGGACCCAGTCCTACTGGTAGGATGAGAGGAGCTCCTGCCATCACCCGACCAACTGAAAGGGTTGTTGTCTCCTCTGCCTGCTGTGTCCAGCTGTTCTTATCTCTGCTGCTGTATACCATAAGCCCAGCATCCAATACACTATGAAACTAGTTTCAAAGAAAAAATAAGCCCACAAACACAAGATTTCTCAAGAATTATCAGAGCATCCTACCCCACAATATAAAATATCCATTTTCTGTTTGGTTATTACTAAAGCTTACTGGGGAAAAAAAAAATCAAGAAAACAATCCAAAGGAGCTATTTATGTTCATGTCACTCACAACCATACACTTATTGAACATATAATCCCTTTCTCTGATAATGAAAGTACAGTGCTAGCTTACAATTAAAAAAGGATTGAGACATGAAGTTATTGATTTGTCAGATCCTTAGACTATTTGTCTCATCTTATACAGTCAGAAAAACTAAAGCACTGTTTACTTGCAAGTTCCCCCAAAACCTTAGGCCTACTTTCAGGTTTTTCAAGTAGACCAGAATTAAATCTGCTTTTATATAAATGTGTTTGCTGACATACATAGTAGTTGTGCACTTTGTACCTCCATAATGGCTTTAGTAGCAATAATTAATAATTTTTTTTACACACAAATATGAAATCACCTAGAAATACTACAAAGTTCCTTGAGGAAAAGTGGCTCTTTTAAGTGAAGAGCCTCTTCCTGAAATCTCTTTCATATTCAGTTATTTACAGTAACTGTCAGCAAAATCCTTGTCCCATTGAAAGTCAGTGCCAACATTCTGACTGATTTCTATGTGCCCAGGGTTTCACTTTATCCTTCTATGAATGTAGTTGATTTTCCTGGGGAACTTTGAAACCCTTTGCCAATTTAAGCCAAATATGACGGAGTGCTCATGGAAGATCAAAGAGATGTGAACCCTAAGGTTTTCATGAAAATCACTGACAGAGTACAAAGAAAAACTCAAATGAGGTCCCATCTCTGGCACCACGTTGGCATGTCCCCCTGGCCAAGCAGCACACACATCACTTGGAACCAGGTACAGTGTGTGCTGCCTCCGGCAGAGCCAGGGGTATGGAACAAATCCATAGGGAATTAGCCTTTGTTTGGCTAACAACCTGCTCCAGCTACAATGGGCTTCAGCTGTTCTGAGTACACCAGAACCACGTATACTTGCTGTACCAGCATGAATCACACATATACAGTGTCTCTCAGTCCTCTCTGGCTTACATTACTGAGCAGCAAAGCAACCTAGTCCTGATCTTATCTCCAAGTAAAATTCCTATTTGTCTCAAAGAAAGATGAGTGTGCATATAAACAGCGACTATATCACCTTAGCCTTTCATTATTTAAGGCCAGTGTTAAACTTGTATTTAATGTTATTTTTCAAGTTCTAGTGTTTTGGGAAAAAAAGCAGAGTTTGTAATTATTTGCTGAAAAAGGGGTCTTAAATGAGCAAAATATATATCATCTGCTTAAGCATCAGTAATTTGATCTGAGAATACGCATGTCCACAGGACCCCAGTAATACTTGGATTCTTTCCTTTCTGCACGAGTAGACAAAGCATATACATAACAGTTAACATCTCATTTCCCTGATATTAATGTACACTCATTAGCTTACTACCAACAGTTAGAGTTAGTGCTTTAATAATGTTCAAGCCCTTATTCTGATACAGGCAAACAAGACGAGTGTGTGAGAGAAGAAAAAAGGGCACTTTTACTCAAAAATATGTTGCCTTTCACAACCCTTCTCCTTTCTGCTACAGTGCAAGAACATGCCTGTTGATTCTATGAGAAAGCAAAATATCCAAAATATCTGAAACATGAAGGCAAGAGCTGTAGCAATTTTCCCTTTCTCCACTTACCTACTTTTGAATGTCAGAGTCTGTGTTCAGGCAACAGCATAAATTGTTCTATCTAGTATATTTATTTCTGTTTTCCTAAACAAAAATCTGACACCTGCCTGAAATTTCCTATGGTAGTCAGTGAGTAGCAGTGAATATTTTAACAAAAAAAAAAAAACAAACCAACTGCTAACACATTCAAAAAAAAGGGGAAAAAAAAAAAGAAAATATAAATGCAGAGTTTGGTTATATATATATATATAGACACACATATTTTTTATATATATATGTACATACACACATATAACTGTATTATTCTGAAATAATCCTGATGTCCTCAAAAGCTACAATTCAAATCCTCATCTTTATCCTGCAGTTCCTTTTTCTCACCTAATAAAAATCCCTTTGCCTGACAGACCCCATCCTCTGTCTTCTCCTGCACTGAAGCCACTTTCAGCCTACTCCTGAACATGTTATTCATGTTAGGTTTTTCTAGAGAATTCAATAGGTGTATTCATGAAGACAAAATGGGCAGAAATGCCTCATTCAGTAAGTAGCAGTGATTTCTGAAGTGCAATGAGATCCAGGTTTTCTACTTCCATATCCCCACAGAGGAAGTATGTTATCTTTAAGGGTTACCTGAACTACCGTACAGAAGCGAGAATCCTAGTGTGACCCTTGAGGCCGGGTCTCCCAGATAGAAATGTAAGGACTAGCTCTATTATTTAGCTTTTATTGCCATCTCAACACATCCCAGGAGCTTAATAGCTGGAGATGTTCTTTTGCCAGTGCAACAATCCTGAAGCAAGCACCGTATAAAACAACGCTTTTTAAAAAGGCCTTTAAAATAACTTACACATCACAGCATTCCTCATAATACTATATGAACATGAAAACATGTCTTATTTGTATGATGTTTACATATACAACAACATGATTAACTGCAAACTTGTCTCTCATGTATAAGAGTGTGCACCTCCTACCATCATATCCTTTGGGGGATATATCCCTGGATTGCACCTTGGGAGCTATGGCTCTCTTGCCATAGGCATGGTTGTCATAACTGTTATATTCAAACGTAGTCTTAGAGTATTTCTCTAGTTCCTTGGCCAAGTTGGAGCGGGGTGTAGTGGTGGGGACATTGTTTCTGTAGCCATACTGAGGGATCTCCAATTGCTTAACAAAGCACATGGGCCTAGAAATTAAAGATATGTAAAGTTTGTTAGATGCAGTTCAGTTTACTGTGTCTGTGCATAATTTATAGTTCAGATTAGAAAATCTTAGTTATTTCTTGTACTCAAGAGACAGCAATATATTATTGCATTTGCTTAGTTTGGTTATTTTCAGCAGACAAACAATATATATTTTCTTGAACAAAGCCTAGACAAAATTAATTCTAATACCACTAAATGTATCCTGTAGCTAAAAGTATTTTAAAATTCTGTTTTAAAATACTTCAGGGTTTCCCTTTCCCTACGTAATTGCATCACATAGCAAACACATTCTCTTTGGGAGGTGAATTAAAGAGGGGCAAGCAGACTGACAGAAGAAGTTTGGACAATTTCCTTTAAATGTCAAAAAGAAAAAAAAGCACTGGAAGCACCACTTAATTTACAGAGTTTCCTCTGAATTTCTTTCAACGGAGTTGTATGCTGTTTTCCTCTATACTTTGCAAAGGAGCTAGTCCTGTTTCAATCCTATATATACAAGTCCATGTTCATCTTGAGAAATAGCCGGGAGAGTCTCACAATCCCTGTTGACTTTGAGCTGCTGCCTCGCAGATCCTGCTCACCCTTAAAGGCAAGGTTCTGGCAGGGGCTGCGATTCCTGGTACACAGATAAAACCTCACAGAAGGTCCTGCAAATGAATACAGAATCAAACTGTATCAGCTAAATTTCTCTTTCGTTTAGGATCAGGGAGGATAGTCAGGAGAAGCCCTGACTGATCTCATTCGGCCATTGGAGAAGCTTGTGCAATCTCAGTGAAAGAATGCTGCAGTGAACTCCTCCACTGTCACGCTGTCTTCTGCATGTGGACACAGAAGTCATCAGCTCTCAAAGCAGGTAAATAAAGGTCAGATCCTGCAAACCCTACCTATATAAGAGTTATATGACTGGGTCATACAGAGCAAATGCTACATGGTGCTGCATGTCCACCTACTGCATTTATCAGGAGGTAAAGATGATGAATAGCACACCTGAAGTGCTTCTGCTGGAATCAAGAATCTTTTTTCTTTTTTTCTTTCTTTTTCTTTACTGCATTTATAACCAGAGGAAATGGAAAGAACATTCATAAGAACATAAATTCAGTCAAGACCAGAAGTATCATCATGCTGACTGACAAAATGGAATGTGATAAATAGTAAGAAATAGGTTTTGAATATTATGTTTTTCTGAATGAATTCATTTTCAGAGAATTTAGTCAGGATATTTATGTAAAGATCACCCAAGAAATCATATTAGTCATACTATTCCCTTTGATTTATGTACGCTCGTTCCTTTAGACACTTCTTCCTCACAAGATACAGTGGGCTCATTTATACAATGAGCTGATATGAATAATATTTTGATCCTGTCTCAAGATAATCTATATTTAGCTAAAAAAATGCAATTGGGATCCTGTACATTCAATGCAAATCCAAAATTTCTGTGGAACAGAAGTCCTATGAATTTGATTTCCTTTTAAGTAAAAAAATTTAAATGCAGGTGGGATGGAAACTGGGATGAAGACAAATATTCAAAATTTACTCTTAGAACATCTCTGTCTGCCCATCAGTTGCCTGCATGCAAATATTATAAATAACTCCCAAGTTCTTCATCTTAAATACTTCAATGACTTAAAGGTAAAAGGGAAGCAGGAGATAAGATGAAAGCATTATTTGAGTTGTCTATAAAATCTGAAACACAGGGCAGGCTCACAAGCAAAGTTAAGATTGCAGCGTAACTTCCTAGGGAGTTTGCCGGCAAACCGGATGCTGCTTTTGAGCAGTTGCCTTCTTTGTATGGCATCTGACTTCAGCCGCTTCCCTCTTATGAGCAGTGGTAAAAGCCACTGCATTTTTGATCTGTCTTTTTCCATCAAGTGAGAAACTGTGTTATTCCCTCAAAGGGTGTTTTTTTATTAATAGGTTTTAAAGAACCCTTCTCTAAGAAAACTGTCTGGGATGCTGTATGAAAAATTGTACAATCTGAATTAGGGGCAGTTAAGATAAAGCCCATCAAAAACATTCTGAGGAAGGAGAACAAAGTCAACAGGCATGACGAAAAGTCTTCTGTAGATGTGAATGATAATTCTGTGTTCTTAGCTCTATGGAAAGACTGGTTTTTGAAAAGACCGTCAAGATTAGATGAAGTTTTAAGAGAACATTCAAAGAATGATGTTGCTAATACAGCAGAAAACTTTCATTTTAAGCAGCCCTATCAGATTTTAAATCTAGAAGACAGCTAAATACTAAGAAACCTATGGGATAGGTAGGAAATTCTGGGAACTGAAGCTGCAGCACTTCCTCCACGCTCTTTGAGGCAGGTGGGAGGGATGTACCTACCCCAGCCCACAGATATCACAGTATCCATGGAGAAATTCTGCAGCTCTTGGGGCATCATCAGCATAAGGCTGGTACAATCATGCAGAAGTCTAGTTCCTTTACATGTATCCTTCACAGTTCAGCTCCTTAGAAATAATATTTTTTCCACTCACATATCTCAAAAGAGGAGACAATGGTACAAAGCTGTCTACAGCTTTGGACAAATGCAGAATCCTATATGGATGAAGATAAGGGGTATAATTACGTCAATTGGTTCAAGGTCCTTCCCGTATGAAAATTTAGGACAATTTTTCTCTCTTTTCATCCTTCCTAGCAGCAAGTGGGGGAGCAGAGACAAAACACTAAGCCTGACCTTATTTTGGAATCTAAGCTATACCTGGCATTTTTCCAAGTGTCCTGCCAAAAGGTGTACTACCAGTTTGGTAATGTAAATAGGGCTTCTGGTTTTAATTTAAACTGATATTTACTAGTAAAAGCCTGCTGAAAAAACCAAGACTTACCGGTAAATATTAGTTTATTCCCAAAAGATACCAACTTTTTTCACATTGTTCTTAGACTTTGCACTCCAGCAGTCATCTTTACACCAAACAATGCCTAAGACAAAAATGAGCTTTTCAGCTTTACATGTATTTTTCCAAAATAATTACCAACCCTCCCCCATGTAAATTGAGTGGGAAATATACACTGTGAGAATTGGATCCAGAAGCCCTAATTCTAACTCTTCTTTAAAGGAGATATATATGTATATACAACGTATATAAATATAAATTCTCAGATTAGGTGAATGTGTGATGAATTCTGCATAATAATAAGTATTATAGTGATTTCTAATACCTTAAAACCCGATCTGATGCCTGGTTTGATTTTGACACATCACAGTTCTGATGCTTCTCTTGAGCTTTAGCCAGTTTCTCTGCTGCAGCAATAGGACATCCAGAGAGGCTGCAATTACAGAAAGGAAATTTAATTGTCTTGTCCTGCGTAGTTTCACATTATAGCACTGATCCAATTACTCCTTCTCCTCCTTAGCCAGCATCAGGAAGAATCTGAAGGAAAAGAGTTTCCAAAAGCTTTTTGGTCATATGTAATTTTTCTAGAATAGACTTCCTTTCTTCTGCTTTCAAAGTTGCCTGGTAGATCTTACATCTGCTCTTCTTCTCTGACTGTACACGGGTAGATTATTCATGGATGTCAGCCAGTGAACATACCAGTAGGAGAGGAGAATCTAAACTGGAATCTACTCTGCAGCTCTGCTAGCAGACTTGTGACCTTTATGCATCTACAAATGTTGCCAATGAAATGGCTCCTGAAGATGATTAAATGACACCACCATATAGGCCAAACCTTGCACTGCTTCACATCTCATTCAGCTCCATTAACTCCAATCTTTTTGCAAGGCACATAAATGAGTGCAAAATTTGGCCTTGTGTCTCTACGTCTGCATCTCGACTACGTTATACTTAGTGTTTGTTCGTGAATTTCACCCACTAAAGTATGTTTTCTAATAGTAGATGATATAACATGAAAAGAACTTCTGCACTTGAAATTCAAATAAATTTGCAAATGCCAAACTATTATTGAAGTGACAATAATAAGTCTGATTCTTCTGGAAAAGATTGAGAACAAGGAAAAATAAATATATTGATGCCAGCAGATGGTGCTCTTAGTGAAGCTGTAAAAACCTGTGACCTGACAATGGAGGGGGTCCTTTCCTTGTCATAGTCTACTGCCTGCTTATGTGACCGCAGCTCTCTGGGTTCTCCACAGGAAAAGAAATTAAAATGAAAGGCAAATGAGTGCATTCCCAGATGTTCCCTTGTCTACAGGAAATGTGGGGGGCGGGGGGGGGGGAAGAATAAAAAAAAAGAAGCAGAGCAAAATGCCCCAAAAGCTGCAGAAAGAGGTGAGCACAGACTGCAGACTGCTCCCCCACCCTCCCTCGCTGCCCTAGTTCTGCAGAGGGGTGAGGGGGCTCTGCGTGGTTTTGGAGTCATGCCAGAGGGCAGCTGCGCTCCACTGACGTGCTCTTCTTCAGACACCTCAAATATTCTAGCAGATATTCAACCAGAAGTGAATGCTGCTTCAAGCAGCAGTAATTCCCATAAAGCCTTCTCAGAGGTTTTTGCTGCATCTACTGGCAGCATCACTGCAGAGAAGAAAGGGGTACCAGAGCTTATTGCAGATGGGTTGGTACCCACAAGAGTCTTCTGGGAGACATGCAGTTAACATGAGGGGTTCTAGTAACCCAGAGCTCAATAAGACTGAATGTCCAGTACCTGTGTAGTCCCTTAAACCTTTGTGCTACAATTAACATTAAAAAAGGAATTCGATAATAGGAACCTTGCATAGTTCCTTTTACCCTCTTACCCATATTTCCTGTTGTTTTTAAAATTGTAAAGAAATAAGCAAGATCTTGTTGTTCTGTTGGGAAAATTATGACATGTACTAAAAATGATAGGAACTTTTTGAAAATTTTGGGGTTGGTTTGACAGAATTTAATAGGCAATGACTTCCCTTCTATAAGAATCTATTACTAACCTTAGGAAACTAAAGAAAAGTAGCTTTTTTTCTTGATCTTCTTTTGTTTGGCTAGAATATTTACATCTAACATTTCTGGCTTCTCATTTTTAAATTTAATGGGGCATTTTCATAATGTTTCTTAAACAGGCAAAATTCTAATTCAGTTCTAGCTGAATAAGGACTTTGGGGTTGAGACTGTGGTCAGCAGGAAAGCTAACTCTTACAGTATCTGTGTACTTAAAATGCCATTTCTCATGTATTAAAAAAATCATTTTTAGGAGTAGTGTGGATTTTTTTCATGCACTATAAAATAATCCCTGAAGAGAGTGAAGTGTGAGAACAAGAACTCTGCCCTAGTCCTGCTGATGTTGGCAGACTCTTCCTTCTCCCCGCGACATACCCGTAAGGAGTCATACCATTCATTTCGTACCACTGCTGTTCAGCTAACATCGAAACAAAAAGAAAAAAAAAATCCACCCAAAAAGCTAAAGGACGCTTAAAATGTCTTCTGTGGATCAATTCACCCATACCGAAGCAAACGCACACTCGTCCTCCTCAGAAAATACATGAATAAATGTTACTCTTTAAAACGGATAAAGCACACGAAGCACCATCTGTCAATCTCAAGAACAAAACAACGACACACACACTCACGCCCCCCCCCGCCAATGGACTGCTAGAAGGGCTGCAGTTCGGAGGCACTGTTCCCTCTAGATTGGCGTCCAGCGACGGCATCCTTACCTTCGGTGGGAATTCCTGTTGCTATTTACGTGGCCCCGGCCTGTGCAGCCTGGTGTAGGACACTTAAGAACATTTTCATGCATGGCAAGAACTTGACAAGGAGAGTAAGAGAAAACAGCAGAGTATGAAAACAAGAAAAAAAAAATCAAATCCCAGTATATATGAAACCATTTTAAAACAAAGCAGGATTCATTAACAACCAGCATTCCTCAAAATACACGTGACACACATAGCCAATAAAGCCTGATGAGGGAAGTAAGTATTGTGACCCTATGCTCATTAACACAGGGCAACAGTGAGTTATGAAGGTTACAGAACCTATAAACAAATGCATCTCTGGTGCAACAGTGAAGCAGAAGACTTCCAATATCTTCTTCATACAACAAAACTGAGCAAAGATCAGCTCATCAGTAAAGTGTGAGCTAGCAACGGTCCAATACAAAATTACGGACTAGAAAAATTCTTTCAGGAAATGTATGTGTTCATAATGCATAGCTTTATACACACAGTATCAAACTCGAGAGCTGAAGATCAGCTCTCAAGTTATACTGGTAGAACACTGAATTATTTGAAACACACCTCAATACAACCCTAAACAGAATTTAAGCCTAACTGTAAGACAGCCGAATGAGCTAGGGCCAATTCTGCCCACTTCCACATAGACATATCATTCATATCTATATGACGAGCAGAATTAGTCCTTAAATTTTTACTGGATTTTCTATAGATGTGAAAATTGCAATGGATAGAAATTTTTTTCATAAGACTAAAACCTAAAAATAATCACTTAAAAAATTGAGGGATGGCAGAAAAAAAGAAAAAGATAACTGTGTAGAAAAGAAAAAAGTGGTACAAGCTTAAGCAAGTAAACTGATTTACATCTGCATCCATTGCAAGCTGGATGGAAAACTTACTCCCAAGCTGCTCAGAGCTGTACTCCTCTAAATCATAAAGCTCATGCTATGAAGTGCCAAATTATCAAGAACTTTTTGGTAACACTAAAGAGTTTTGTATGATGTGAGACATCTCTGAATCCTTGTCTCAGAGCTGGATGGCAGTACATCACTCTATGGAAAAAGGCCATCCAGCCCTTGCAAAGTTCTGGTTTTCTCATACAAGAACTGGTCTAGAAGCCTGTATTTAGTTCTCACTCAAAAAAAGATCTAATAAAATCAGTGAATTCCTTGACTGAGTTAAGAACTGAATAAAAGCTGTTCAGAGACTTGAGAATTTAACCACATATACTGATTAAAAGATAACCATCATCATCACCTCATCATCAGTGTACTAAAACGATAGATGCAAAAGCTTTACTCTGAAATTCCTACTATTCAAAGCTGTTCTTGAAACATGCTTCACAAGGCCAACATCACAGGAAAAAAATAAAAAGATGAGCTCACCTTTTTCATTTTAGTAGGTACAAGAGCATGCAAACAGTTTAAAGCTATATTCTTCTTTGATTTACAAAGTCTTCTAAAGAGCCTTTTATTTACCATTTGTAAAAACGAGAGAACTTTGAGCAACTGAATAAATATTTGTGTTTCAGAAAATTACAGGGTCTTGTAAAGCAGAGAAATTACTTTATTTGTTCTACTGTATTCAGAGATCAACCAAGCTACAGCAAAGTTTCCTAAAGCACTTCCTCATTACTTCTGGAAGAAGCCACTCTACCATGAAAGAGGAGACTTTTTATGTCTGCCACTCTTGGTGTGCTATCTACTTCTGTTTTCCTATCCTTCAGAATCTACCGTCCTTTGGAAACTGGAGACCATTTTAGCCCTGACTGTCTTTCTAATGTTTCCTTTAGGCTGTTTTAAATCCATTGAGGTTAGGTCTGTAAGTGCTGATGGACAGTAGGGATTTTAGGTCCATAGGCTTCAACGGAATAACTCCATTTTAAAATTGGTGTGACAGAGAACTGGATCTTAGCTAGACAATTGCCTGGTGTAAATCAGCATAGAGCAATTAGCTTCAACAAAACTATACCAATTCCACCAGCCAAGGAGGTGACTTCCAGAAATGGAGCCCTCTGCCTTCAGATGAACATTCGTGAGCTCATATGGGTGAACCTCCTTTGCAGAGAATCCATTGGCATGGCAGGAAATTCCACCCATGTGGCTGACAGGGGAATACTATTCAAAATCCTGAGTTGTATAACGAAGTAAACAGCCAAATCATTATTTTTAATAATATAAGTTAAATATAAGCTATGTTTAAAACACAACAACAACAATGGAAAGGGGTTGCAAGTTTTTCAATTACAATTATTCCTGTACAAGACAACAGGGACCGTTGATGTGACATCAGCACGCAGAAGTAAAAGCAGTGCACATCTTCTGGAAATGTTTTTCTCTGTTGACTGAATACATCTATTTAAAAATAACCTAGCATTCTTAAAATCAAAGAATACAGCTTTAAAAGTTGTTCTTTTAGTGTAAAAGTTAGTAGAGAATGGAAATGATGAATAAAGGAAAAAGTATAACACAGAACAGTTGACTAAGTTGAGACAAACCATACTGAAAAATGAAATTATTTTTTTAAATAAAAGGTTTAAAAAGCATGCTAGAAAAATCTTTGTAGTTTTATCCCCGGTTTCCATGAAACAATGTGAACTTACTTTCTGGAGGGACCCTATCTTTGTGTGGGCATCCTGACAAACTGCGGTGATGGGGGTAAAGCCCCGTTACATGGCCAGTTCCATCACACCCAGGGGTAGGACATTTGCTCTCTTTCTTTTCTGTTCTTGAGGGATCTATAATTTACAACAAATGTGTCAAGTGAATGATGCTTTTCACATTTCTGTAAGAAGGTTCATTTAATCATGTCATTTACTCGTTGGTAAATGTTCTTATGAAAACTAGAAGAAAAAAAACACCTTCTACTTCTTAACACAGTTCTGTCACTTTTATCCCGTTGTCTTCTTTTCAGACTGCAGGCTCCTATGATCACAACAATATCCATTCACAGTGATTGGAAAGTGACCTTTTTATAGCAACGCCATACCACTGTCAATCAATGTTCTGCTGGCAAGCATCAGCTCAAGGGTGTAAGGTCATTCGGAAACTATCTAGTTGGAGTTTCCCTTCTTTACATTCTTATTTGCCTTATGTATTAAGGTCTGCAAATGTACTGTCATAGAAATTCAATGTCCTGAGAGTAGCAAACCCAGCTCTTTAGCATAAACGATTCAACGAGTCAGCACAAATAAATCCCTTTCCCAAGGTGCACTGAGGAGACGACTCTTGTTTTCTTTAAATTCCTTATGAAGTGGTAGAAATTATGTAAATATTCTTTTCTCTTCAATAAGTTATGATGGGGTAAACATTGTCATCAGAATTACTGAAAGTATCACTTGCTGTGTAAATTTGGGCCATTACAAATGTATATATATAATGCTTGAATTTTCATATGCTTAAAAGGTTAACGAACTTTTAGAATATTGTTGGATCTTCTGTATACAAATCAATGAAAAGTCTAAATAGACATTTTTTCAACAAAAGAAAGTTTTCTGCCAATAATGTAGTGGAACTGCTGGTGAGATTAATCCTGAACTAGAACTTTCTCACATACTTCATCAGCTTGTTTCCTTTAACAGAACATCTGTAAAATAACATCCCTACCCTTCCAGCCCAGCACGATACAAATTACATCTTATCATCTTCATCACAGTTGCTAGATTTTGAAGACTATTTCTGATTTTCATAGCAATATTAAAGGAATATAATTCAGGATACTCTAACTGCTACCATTTTGGCTCAAGATCAACCAACATCCCCCTTCCATTTTTTTGGTCCATCCTCCTTTTGATACCCAATCTGAGCTATCCTCATTTAAGTATTGTATACCGCTCTTGTCATTACTCTGCTTCAGTATTTATGTTTTCATCTCTGGAAAATAAGATTTTGCTACTTGTTTTCCGTTACCTCTTTCTTACATTAATTTCCAAGCCAGCTTCAACAAATGCAACCCTCAGTACAATCAGTGGAAATTTCAGTACTTGCAGAACTTCACATACAACCCATTTTTTTCAGCATGAATCAATATAATCCAGAGTTCACATTCAGTTGTGGACTTATTTTTCCTTGATTTCTCTCTTGTAGCTTTTATATATTTTTATATATATTATATACTTTTACATTCAAAGTTCTTCCAAAACACTTTCATTTTAGAGAAATTCTTTAGCTCATTGTAATGATTCTCCAGGTCTTAAATCCATTCTTAAATTTTAACATGATATTTAAACCTTGTCTTTTGCAAATGCAATCCCTAATTATGAAAGTTGTATTTTACTTAATCTGCATGTTGACTGTAGAACATAGTTCTTTGTTTCATGCTCTTTAATCACAAATACACATACAAATCTATCTCCAAAGGTCTATACAGTTATCACAACAGCCCTGGAAATATCTTATACGTCAGGAAATTGAAACAAAGAGACCAAGAAGTTAAACCCAAGGCCACAGAAGGAGCAAATGTCAGAGGAGGGATTTGAATTCCTGCCAGATAGGCCTGTGCTGAGACCACTAGAACAGCAAGCCCACAGCTACATACATACACAACTCTAAGCAATTCTTCATGTCAAGTACTTTGGGATGTGTAAAAGTATTAGGTAAGTGAATAAGTAATGTAAATGAAATATAAATAATGTAAATATAACAATATTCAAGGACTGCAAAAAATGTAGATGATTAATAGACCATAATGGCTTTTTAGAGACTTTAAACTAGAGGAACTTTAGCTACTCCATGTTGTCAGAACTCCACTCAAGTCAATGAAGGTATTCTAATTTAGAGCAGCTGAGGATTGGGACACTTACATCCTAGAGTGTCAAGCAAATCCTCCTCTGTATTCAAGTCTATGCTATAAAGTTATAGCATGTGTCAGATCCTTAAGAGCCTTTATGGTCTAATGAGTCAGAAAAGATGCTGTATACTATTCTTAATGATTTCAAAACTTGCATAAAATCGTACTTGCACAATTTCCCATTGCTTTTAATGGAAGACATTTGACTAAACTTTCCAGAACTTTATACAAAACACTGGATACTCTTTTGTAAAACCTTTTCTGGTAATTGGGAGAAATATCGTATAGTTTTATTTAATTCTGTAACCTTTCCTCACTCCTTGCCACAATGGGAGTATTGCCTGAGTGAAGGTTGTCAGAGGACTCAAAAGGTTTTAAAATTCATAAATTTCAGAAGAAAGCCTGTTTAGAAGGCTTTAAATGGCAGGGAAAAAATGGTTAGTGGTCCCTAAACAGCTGTTTCAGTGATCTCTGAAAACAGAACTCCTGAAGCCAGGAGGTAGTTCTCACTGCAAACTTGTGTACCTCAAATGGTTCCACTTAACCATATTGTACATATCTGTGGGTATGTCTTCCAGGAGCATTTGAAAGATAATGTGTGAGTTGAGAACAAAGGATATAAGCAACTGTCTTAAAGCGTCTTCTCTCAACAACCACCAGAATGTTTCCTATGCTTTTTAAAGTAAGGAAGGAATATTTTTTTTATTTTTTCCTTTATTATAAAAGTGTAGAATGATCCACTCCACAAAGTTTCTTGGTCCAAACTACCACAATATTTAGTCCCTGGCTGGGGTTTGGACCTATTATCAATTCAGATTGCAGCTCCCAAGAGACAGGATGGTTCAAAGAAGCTCTAGAATTTACTGAAATAGGAAGTCCATACTTCTGTTACTGCCAGAAATTATGTAATATTTTTTGGAGACAATAGATCTATATAGATAGATGCTTTCCCAGGCATACATAGACTGGAAGGGCTGGACAACACCAGAGTTAAAAAGCTCTTAAAAAATTAGTGGTTTGCCATGTTTTCTGTGGTTTTATTAGAGACATGTATTGAAAGGGATATGTACCTAAAATCAGTCATATGCGAACAACATTTAGCACAACATCCACATGGCTATGCAGTAATACACTAACTAACTAAAGTTGTCTTCCCCAAATACCCAAAGTTACTACAGCACTCACTGAACCATATATTTGTGTTTAAAACAAACAAAACTTCACTAAAATACATTGCAGAAGAATGTTTGACATCAGTAATTTCCATGTTTTTCTAAAAGACTGGTCATTACTTTAAGGCTTGTGAAAAAGGATCAAAACCTTTCTTGGACCAAGATGTTGTCTGCCTACCTGACTGTCACAGGCAGATCTTAGGGTATTACTCTTCCAAAACAAGGATTCATAAAAAGGAGAAAAATGGCCACCATCTCAGTTGTAGAAAGGAAACCAAATATTTTTACAACAAATATAAGATGAACCCAGTCCCTACTTAGCATCTCCCAAGAAATACCATGTCCTCAACTTCCACTAAAGTCAATGGGAATCAGGGGTGTTCAATGAGTCTCAGGAGGTATTGAACACTTTATACAACACGGCCCTACATGTACAGATGTAGACACATTGAAGAAGGGTGTGGTAATATAAACACACCATCACCATGATAATCCTGTAAATTAAAAGGCATTCTAAAGGTAACCTTTAGTCTGTTTTTTTCTTTTTTTCTTTTTTTTTTCTCTTTTGTATTGAATTATGGTCAAGGCAGCACCTTAACTGTTTCCACAATGGAATGAAACCAGTGAAGTGGAATGCACATAAGAAAGAAATTGCTATTGATCTCAGCCCAGGCCACACCATGCCTTGCATAGCAAATGGTTTCCATTACCTTACTATCTTAAGATAATTAATGTGCAGTCACTGCCCCTATCTTAAGTTATCGGTCATTCTGATACTGTTCAATTTCTATCAGGCAATTCTACATTTTAGATGGGAGAGGCTTCATCAATAACTGTCATTTGATGATAATTTTATAAATCACGATGCCACCTACCCAATCCAATCTGTAAAATATGCACTTCATAGCTGATTGACTACCTGCTACATATAACCGCACTCTCCAATATAGTTTGCAACGTAATTCTCTTCATTGTTTTTTAATTATTACTATGAAATATATTAAAAACTTGAGAAAAATCTTTGCCTCTTTCAACATGATCTCTTATTTGTTTTGTTTCCCTGAAAAGTTAGTTTTTTAATTTAGCCAAATGATATTCACTGAAATACTGTACATATTTCTAACACTGCAGAATGAATTCTTTTATTTTATAATCGCAGCATGATGCTATTTTACAGTCATGCCATACTACTACAATTTAAATAAAGTTCCCATTTTGTGGAATTAATAACTTCATTTCAGAAATCTATGCAAAACTTAACATGTTAGCTCACACTTTCTCATGACATAACATACGGTATATAGAAATATTACCTTTACCATAATATGGCTTTTTGACATGGACGTCACTGGGTTTAGGCTTCCTGTCATCTCCAGAAAGGTGTCTTGGAGACTGTTCCTCAAATGATCTCATATTATCCCTCCTTCCAGCTTCCACTGCCATTTTTTCTCTCATGGCTTTTGCTCTCTCAGTTTCCAAAGCAATTGCTTTCTCAAGCAGGGTTAAGTTACCTTTTGTCATATCAAACACTTCTTCAGACCTATCTGAAGTAATAGAGGTGGTATCATCGTCTCTTTCATGACAACCATCCTCCTTTGCACAGCTAGAAAAAGTCCTAGATCTGGGGCTCAACTGTTCTTCAAGTCTCATTAGGTTCATCATATCAGAGTAATTCCGGTCTGGTGTTCTTCCTTGGAAGTCATCTTCTTGCCTGACATGCTGACGAGTGTTCATGTTTTGCTGTTGATTTCTTTCCTGTGGGTTTGTCTCACTGAGTTTCCTAGCCAGATCAAAACACTGGTTCCTTAAGCACTCCAAACTGCTGAGACACACCTCTTCATCACTCTCCTCCACCATTTTTTCTGTAAGTCCATTGTTCACAGGCTTCCCTAGCATTACAAAGTTCATATTCCTATTATCTTGCTGTGAAGTATTGTCTGCATAATTTCTGTCATTAATGTTTTCTGAAAGCACTACACCATGTCCTTGTGCTAATAATTTAAGGGAGTCCACTGTTTCCCTAACAACATCACTGTCTAAATCTAAACTCAGCTCACTTTTCCGACCAATATTTTCATTTTTGTCACTATCATCTTCCAGACTATTAGATGTATTGCTGTTCATTTCTGATTCTGTCCTGGCTCTGTATGCTGCATCCTCTGCAATTTTGCCAAGATTTAACAATGACTTGGCCACCAGTTCATCGTAATTATCATACTCATCATTATTGTTATCGTCTTTTTCTGTGTCTTGCATTATTCGAGTATTGTGACAATTCATTTGATGGTCTTCTGCATAAAAAACAGAAACAAAGAAAGAAACAAAGAAAGAAAGAAAAAGGAAAAGAAAAGAAAAAAGTGGCTACAATTGGAACTGTTGTTGCAATCGCATGGACAGAAAACAAACTGCATGTCAAATATTGTTAATCATACAGCAATTCTATAACACTAAGGCCCATGTGAAGTGAATGTCTCTATAGTCCATAAGGCTATTTTTGTTTATTTGCTATTCACATGAATTTCTTTCATAGAACCGATAAGAAAAAGGCAATCAAAATGCTAATTACTACTACTGCTATATATTATGGCATAAATACTTATGTTTCTCCTTTCACTTCTACATTTACAGTTTTATGGGGTTTATTACAATCATATTACTAATATGGCCTAATTGCCTAGGTTTCCAACTTTTCTCACTCCTGTATTTCCTGTAAATATGGTAGATGGCAAAGGAGTGAGTACTACTGGATTTATTCTCTTACTGATGAACACCATTCACCAAAAGAGAAAGAGTATACACCAAGCAGGAAATTGTCATTTTTTTTAACACCATACACACCATTAACACCAGATAACCAATAACTATACGCAAAGATCAAAACGGCATTTTACTTGGTGGATCCATCAGTAGAAATCAAAATCTCTGAGTTTAACTACGCAAACTGTGGAGAAGTAAGAATTTTAAAAGCATTGTTACATGAAAGGAAGAAAGAAGCAATTATATGCATGATATAATTTTAAGTAAATATGCTAGCCCAAATTATATGGCCAAACAAGTATGATAGGGCTGTTATCTACTGTCCTGTGTACTGTAACATAATGGTGCAGAGTTACCACATTTTACTTAGCTTTGTTTTAGTAACTGTTGAATAATACAGGGACAACTTAATAAGATGGAGCCAATGTGAGGCCCTGAGGGTGAGATTCATCTCACCTAACTTTAGACATGAGCAAGGCAGGCATCGATATCCGAGTAAGCTATTCGATGTTCCCATCCTCAGTGAGTAAGAGCAGCAGACACTTTAAGCATACAGTGCACCTGATCTGGTTAATAGATCTTCTTGAGAATAAAATTAATAACTGCTAGAAGTGCCTGTTTTTCTTCATTGACAACAAAGGGGCTCGGAGTAGATGCCTACCTTAAAGATATCCATATTTGGTCAGATGAATATCATCCAGAGAGCATTTTCTGATATCTCATGTTCACTCAGAAGTTATGTCATTCTTAGACCCGTTCTTAAAACAGATATACATTTTTCATTATTTACTAATGAACTTCTCATAAATTATATTTTGATAATTGGCTACTCAAGCAATATTTAAATGTTTTGCATCACAACTGGAAAAGAAAGTTCCTAAATCTGTCATTACATTGACATGCTAGGCCAGTTTTTCAGCTGGTGCAAATTGAAAGAAACCAGTAGAGCTAGGACAATTAACACCTGCTCAAGAGCTAGTCCGTCAACTTCCGATAGCATCTTTTCAGCTCAGATGTATTTTCAACACTGGTACACCTAAATATGTAGGATTTTCTAAAGTGTGACTTTTATGTTTTGGGTTAAACAAACCAAAGTGGGAAATTTCAGGTAGTAGGTGGCTTGTACACTAATATTTTGATGATAGGAAATAATTTTTGATAAAAATAATTTTTATGTCAGTGGACAAGATAATAAATCAGAGTTTTAAATACAAAGCTCAACAGCACAATAATTAATATTTCAGCCAAAAGATAGTATTCCTTCTACACAGTGGTTAGGGATCCTGGGATGATAGTAGGCTGTAGTTAAGCAGCAGAACTGGTAGATGACTAGGCTAAGTCTAGGGAAAAAATGTTTTAATGGTAAAATATTATCTAATAAACATTATCTACTGCAATACAGTGGGAAGATAATTAATAGGGAAGGATGCATGGTATTTTTACATGACAAGATATTCCAAGTCAATAGTGGGATACCTATTTATCATTAAAGGTGGTTTTATTTTAGTTGCCGTTGTTCTCAATAATTCATATTTACATTTCAGACCCTCAAAAATTAAGTATATCAGGTATCAGATTTCCAGTTTAAAGGTAAGGGATGCCACTTACATTTCCTATCTGAAAAATTTTCATCTTGAATGACTGCAAAGAAGTAGGCAATTAAGGATTACTGGAAAATTAGTTTGTGCTATTTGAAAAGCAAATGTTTTAAAATACTAATAATACTTTTCTAAAGTTAAATGTACAAACAAATCCTACATAAATTTATATATTAAGGATAAAACCTCATGCCAAGAAGACTGTTCAGTAGAAACTGATGCTTTTATGGGGTGCTTCTTGTAACTAAGTCTGATGGGCAGTCAGATGTAGCAGAAGGAACATCAAAGTAATTAAAGCAGTGAGTTATAGCTCCAAAATTGCCAGTGCCTTCAAGTTTAGGATGAGATATCACACTGGTGAAATCAGTCCAAATCTAGCTCTAACAGGATACTGAAATAAAGAGTAGGAAAAAAACGTATTTTCTCAAGCCATCCAGAGAACTGTTCAGGTATGCAGTGACTATTCTAGGGCAACTTTTGAAATGCGAAAAGTTTCAGTTTGTTTTTTAAAAAGGGGTTTTGTGTTTGTTTTACGTGAATGAGAGCCATGTAAATGATCACCAATGGGAGGAATATGTTATACTTTGCCTCCACAACAGTGAAAAGTCAAAATATGAATCACGTACTGTATGAGTGAAGACATGTAAATTCCTTTTGAGTAGGTGAAGCTGGGTGAAAGCTGTAACTATAATATTTTTTATTCTGTTTGTTTGGTTATATCCTTTTCAGTTCTCCTGCCCGTTCAATCCTAAAAAGAAGAAGAAAAGAAGGTGGTGGAGGAGAAGAAAGTGTAAAGCATGAATCCCAGATGAGAGAGGCAGGAAAACAAAATATTTTAATCAAGTTTCATTTCTCCTCTTTTAAGTTTTGGCCTTTTCTTGCATCTACTTTCTTTAACAATTGTTTTGCTCATGTTTCTTATCTCCATGCAGCAGTTAATTTTAATGAAAAGGATATTTATGTATATACTATGTCATCTCCTCAATGACAGCTGGATACTGAGCATGATCTCGTGAAGCACCTGTATCACCTGTTTATTAAACTGAAACTGTATTGAATTATTTTGTATATTACTTTTGGGTCTTCTGGAAAGTATGTTAGCCTAGCAGCTCTATGTGAACCTTAGGTGAACCTACGTGCCTTTTCTTTGATTCAGCTCTAAAATCTAAATTTGCTTTCATTTCATATTTCTATGCTTCCTAAGATTTAACCTTTAACCTGGAAGCTACCTTTATATTGTGCTGTTTAATGGCTATTTGCTAAATGACTGCAAAGCATACAGAACTGAAACACCTACTCTACCTCTTACCTAAGTTTTTTAATCACTGACCCAAATTGCAGGTTGTTTATTTGGCGAAGAGGCTGAGTTTGTCTCAAACAAATTAGCCTGTTTAGGTGAAAAGCAAAGTTATCATATATCCTTTTTCCGTTAGATTTAGGGTTGCATGGACAAGGAATATGCAACACAGTTTAAGAAGAATATCAGATTATTTTAGCCCTCATCCGCACAATATTATGACAATTTAGGTATTTTTGATTGCAAAATTTGTTCTTTTTAACTCCCAGCAGATATAACAAATGATAGGAGGGAAATTATAGTGAAGAGTATGTGGAATGGCTATAAAGTGCCGGAAGCCCTTAGCCATCTCAACAGAAGTGCACTCTTGTATTGCACTAAAAAAAAGTGAATAATTTGATTTCTTAATGCACCTTTCATCCAAGGATCTCAAAGCACTTTACAAACATTATTTTAAAAAGCCTCACAACACCCCTGTGAGGTAGGTATTTTAACCCCATTTTACAGATGGGAAATAGAGACAGAGAGAAGTTGAGTGACTCTTTCCATGTCATACCAGGAGTCACTGGAGTACAACTACAGCCTCTACATCCTTGATTGTTTCCTCCCTTTGTTCCTATCACATCCATATTTAAACAATTTTTGACAGAAGAAATGGCTTGCTGTTTTTAGTGTAGGGAGTCATGCAAAACAGCACCTTATTTTTGAAAAGGAAAATATACAGCATTTAGTTTGAGAGATTCTGCAGAGAGAGGCAATGATACTTCAGTAATAGCAGCTACATTCCTACCAAAGGCCGAAGACCTCAGAAACAAGACTTTCCAAATCTGTGGTCCGTGTATCAAATTACTCATTTTCTCCCAAGCATGGGAAAACATGATGGCTAACAAGCTGAACCTATATGTGGTCATACAGGCTCCCTGCCCAGATGGATGGTTTCATTATCCAGGCAACATGGCCTGTTTTAAAACACTTTACTGCTCTTGCTACTGCCACTTGTCAGCTCAAAAGTGCTCAGCATATGATACTACTGCGACACCATTTTTCTCCTAAGCTGTAAAGTGAGGTGCATCCATACATCTCCACATTACGAGCTATGACAGCTGGTCTATGAGAAACATTTAGTACATTGTTGGCACAAATGAATCCCGGCTCTTAGAAAGTTACAGCATCGTATGAGGCGGGGGGTTGTTTGTACATTGCCTTCTCCTCTGGGAAAATTTTATGAGTAAGGAAACTTAAGAGGTAGAAAACTTAGTGAGCTCTCAACAACTTCTCCACTCCACACTGAAGAAATCGAGCACACATGTAAATCTCCAAGGGCCTAAGCAAGGTCTCTAACACCTATTAACATGGGATTTGGATCAAAGCCCAAGCCTTTGAATATGGCTATTTCAGGGACGCACTGAACACTGAAGTTGACCATGTGCAATTCTTCATCTCTGCAAAAGTTCCTGAAGTTCTTTTACACTGTCGGTACTTTAGGTAAAAACCCAAGGAATTTGCTTTTACAGTAGTTGATCCCTTTATGGGCCTCATATTACCTAAGGAAAGTCCAAAGAAAAAGATAACTGTTCACTTATTTACTTGATGCACTTTAATTATTCCATTATGTCGAATTTTTTTCACTCCTCCCCCT